GGGGGGCGCGTCGGGCGCCCCGCCCCCCCTCCGGTGCAGAAGCCGGACGCTGCCGACCTGTGGCTGCGGGGCGGGAGGCTGGGGTGCTGCGGACCGCCAGCCATTCAGCGCGCGACAGCAGAGAGGACTGGGCGACCTTGGGCTCTTGACTCCTCGCCACAGGCTGGGCTGAGTGAGAAGAGGGGGAAGGATGAGGGATATGTTTCCAGTCATAGCCACCTCCCTCGCTACTGACACCTCCCACTCAACCCGCTTTTCCCAGACTCACCTTCTGTGCTCTGACTCTGGCCGTCTCCCTGTCTCTGTCTTTCTCAGTCTCTCCCGTGCTGGCTCTGTCTCTCATCCTACCTTTCCCTCTATTTATTTATTTTCTATCCTCTTTCTGTGTCATTCTTGTGGTCCACATGCCTGTGCCTCTGCTTGTTTCCATGTCCCTTTGTCTCTCTGTGTTGGACTCTCTCCCTCTCTGTATCTCTGTTACTCCCGCTCCAACCCTGTTATTTTCTTCTCCCACTTACCCTCTTCAGTACACAGCCATCAAACCACCTGGAAAAGTATGTATTGGAATCTAGGACTAGGTCCTTCCGGTGCTGGCCCGGCTTCCAGTGCCTCTTCAGTGTGCCCAGACTCCTGCCACAAACTGGGACATGGCTGAGGGCACTTCTCCCCACCTCCCCTGCTACCTCTCCAGAGCCTATCCCAGAGTGAAACACCGCGGGATAACATTTCAATGTCCATCTGTAAGAACTGGGTAGAAATTGATCTCAAGAGCTCAAGCTGGTGACAGCAAAATAGAATCTAAATTGTGTGTGTGTTGTGGGAACAGCTTAAATGGTCTCACTGTGTCCAGATTCTCTGACCTCAGTTCCTGGAGTAGCTGGGATTACAGGTGTGCACCACCAGGAGCAGCTTCTCAGAACAGGCCAGAATGGTGGGTTTTCCATGTGACTTCAGCCTGCTAAGCAGAAGAGTCCAGTGTGGTTTACTGCAGCTGGGCCTAATTATGATTCTATTTATTTGTTTTCAAGAAACAGGATCTCACTATGATGTTGCCCAGTCTGGCCTCAAACTTGTAATCCACCTGCTTCAGCCTCCTGAGTAGCTAGGTTTTCAAACTGCTGCCATGTTCCTGGTCTAATTATGATTTTTAATGAGTCTCAAGGTGTGTTTTCCTGGAGTTTGGCTGTTGGACATTTCAGGCTCTGTGAATTCTGGCCTATCTAGACCCAGATATAGTGTACATGCTACACAGTCACCATAAGCTGAATTTTTCCAAGAAACACATGTCACCACTGGCCTCCACCCCTCAGCATGGCAGTAGCAATCAACAGAACCACAGCTGTCCTGGAAGAGATGAGAGAGGAGCCCCGGGAGGCCTTCACCTAGAATCAGATCTTCAAAAGCCTCCAAATTAGACCCCCACTGTAGGTTATACCTGTCAACACATTGAGGCCTATACTCTGTCTTCCAGTTGAAAATAGCTTTTTAGGGGTCAGCAGGTGATATAGTGATTAAGGAGCTGGACTCTTACGTGATCGGGTCCTGGACCCAGCAGCTTGAAACTCACGCTGGGCGCACATGTACGTGTGCCAAAAATTCTAAGAGGAGAATGGAGGAGAAGGGATTGGGGCATGGTCATCCTTCTTGGGGGAGGGGGGGGATAGTGATTTCTCACTTTCTGTCTCTCTGTCTGTCTCTGTCTCTCTGACATGCCCATGCCCTAATAGGAAAAATCCCTCTAAAAGAAAAAAATTTAAGAACAACTTTTTAAGGAGCAAGCTCTTCTCATCTCTAAGGTTGTAGTCCAAAATTTATTGAGTTGTATGCACTGTAAGACAGTGAAGCACTCCTTCTATCAGGACTCCATGCAAGTAAAAACACACATGTATATATGGCATAGTTGTAATGTTGTCTTGGCTATTTTCACTTCCCAGGTATTTCACATTCTTTAAGCTCTTTAGAATGTGGGTGTCTTAGGTCAAAGGAAGACTTGATTGATTTCACCCTTTAGGATTCATGAAGCCATCCTAAAATTGATCCCCAGGCTGAAGTATGGAGCTGGAGCGAGTGTTGCCTGCCTCTATACAGATGCTCAAGAATGACGCTGTCAGAGCTGAGTTTCTGTCTGACCTTAGGGAAAATGAGAAAGAATCCGGCCAGCTTTAGGATATACCAAGTCCTTTTCTAAACCTTACTTCAAAACATTCTGCCTCTAGTGCCATTTAGCCTTTTAAAAAAAAATTACTGCTTGTGAAATAGAAAGACAACCAGGGACCTTAACATCTCTGTCTGAATGGGACTGATTTTTTAAGAAAAGCACCACAGGCACCTGGTAATGGGAACTGGTCTGACATTTTGTTCTATGACAGAGGGTGCCAAAGAGCATTTTATGTTAATGACCTGAGACCTTCTGCCCAGACATTCACCTCTTACAGGATCCTACAAGACACTTGGCCTGGGTTATAAAACAGCAGCAGATTGTCATTTTTTGGTACCTTCTTAAGAGACTTCATTTCCTGTAATACTCAATCAGAAAAGGACACTGGACTACAGAATGACACTGAAAAACTTATCCCTGTTTCTGTTAAACCTCTCTAATTTTAATGACATACTATTGGTGGGGAAGGAGACAAAGATAGCTCATTCATCTTCCTTGTTTTCCTATTGTTTGCTTTAAAGGAAATGAAAGACAATAGGAGTATGATTCTCATTCATGCTCCTGTATAAAATAGTCCCCTACTCCAAAATGCACTCTTAGGATACATCAAAAGTCAGCTTCTCCAGGATAGAACAAAAGTGTGATTATTCTTAAAGAGCATAGAATTTGTTACATTTTTCTCAGACTTTGCTCACGTTGAGAACCCTTTCAAAAATTATTCTCTTTCTGAGTTTTGTGCATGCTGCTTCTCGTACACATACAAACTTCGCATAAATTATAACCTCTGTAAAACACATGCCACTGCAATCTGCTTTTCTCAAAGTATATCTGGTCCAACCTGAAATAAGCAGGGTGAAATAACACTATATATTTCCTGGAGAGAGTTAAAATGGGCTGACCTCAAAAGGAAATGATGACATTGAACAATTTTTCTGATAATTAAAACCAGAAAAAAAATTACAATCCATTGGAAATACACTGATAAATCTGTTAAATGTACTTGGTTTGGTTTCGATTCATTTAATTTGGTTTGTTTGTATGAGTCTTTGTTTTCACAGGGAAGGAAGGAATGGAGTTGAAATCTGAATTATCTTGGCGGGGGGACAAAGAAAGAAAAAGATTAATTTTGAATTCTAAAAACTCTGTTCTAAAAAGAGCCTGTTTTAAAAACATGAATATCATATTTTACCCCAAATCCAACTAAAAACAGAAATGGTTGTTATGAAGCACCCAGCTGTGGTCTTGCTTAAGCCTCAGGCTAAATTGTATCACTTTGTACATAGTACTGCATTGTACCTATTTTTTTTTTCTAATAGCACCAAAAAATTTTAAAAACTTATGTCACCTTCTTGCTCTGACATCAGTAGCATGTAATATTTGTATATTGCACGACCTTGGGTAAGATACCCCTGACTTCAGTATCCTCCTGAAGGTTAAGTGGTATTTAAGGTGACTTCCAGTTATAAATTCATTCATTCTATTTTATATGATTAAATGTGAAGTCATCCTTGACTTTAAAAACTTAACTTATTTAATAAAAAAAATTATATACTGCATTAGGGTTTTCAAAGATATTAACAATTTAAAAGAAGATATTTTGTGTAGTGCATTTCAATGATTATTAAGTAAAGTGTATTTGTAGGTTTGAGCCAGAGATTTTTTTGTACATTTCTCCCCTTCCCCATCCTCATAACATTTTCTTGAGGTCAAGAGTTGGTTGTCTTAATTGTATTAATCATATCATTTTTTCATATCAATTGTCTGCCCGTGTTTTTAATATCATTGATTTATGAGACTCTCCACTCATAGAATTTACACTCTATATTTGTTATAAAAGAGTGAAAGCTATGTCTGCAGAGTTCTTAAATGTCACTTAAGACAACTAAGAAACCCTCTGGCCTTTCCACACCCTCAAGATATTTTGTTAGTAGAAGGAAGGATCATTTGCAAAGTGATTTTTAGCAGCCTAGGGTATTTGGTATTTGAATGTAGTAGAACTTGGTTAATAACTATGAGGCATGTGTGCTAAATTACCTTTGTAAGAATGCTTTAATAACAAGATCACTGGACTAGAGAGAAAAAATAGCCATCAAGCTCTAAAATTTAAAAAAAAGTG